AGCATTTCTTCATTTGTTTTACTTTGAGTATAATGGATCTTTAGCATTATCCCGCAACACCACGTTTCAAAGGCCTATTCTAACCTTTATCCCATACTAAAATATTAACCCCCCTTTGTGAAACATATCTCAAAGGTTATTAAATGCTGTTTTATTTGACATTATTATCTTTCTTTATAATTTGTTTTTCTCCTTCACATCTACAATCACCATTTATTTTATATAATTCCTAATAAAAAACCCCGACTACTGAGGCGTTCTTTTTCTATTGGTTATTATAATGCATTAGATTTATTTTCAATTTGGACATTGCCATTATTACCATCGTTACAGTCAAAATTTTCACCCTATACCGGTATCCTTCGCGTTTTTTTTTACCCATTAAACAGTTCAGTAGCCTTTTCTAACGCCTCTTCACCCTCTGCAATAAAACCATCACCATCTTTATACCAAATACCTGATATAACTTCATCAGCGACTCTTATTCCCTCGACACAACTCACAACTTCTCGTAAAACATCCTAAAGGGTATTATACACAATGTTGGGAGATATAACCCGGGCTTAGTTAATTCCCTATTGATCTATCTAACCCGGAACTAAGTATTATACGTTACGTCATTAATAGTTATTATCCATTATACAATTATTAAAACAATTACTCAACCTCTTTAAAAAAAACACGTACAAATTAAACCCATAACAGTAAACTTAACATAACTAACGATATATTGTTTTTTGTTTTAGGTGGGAAATATATTAAAATGTTTTAATATAGCGAAGGCACAGGCAGCAGTGTGTGTGGGGGGTGGGGAGGAGGGGGTGAGGGAAGAGGGGGTGAGGGAGGAGGGGTGAGGGAGGAGGGGGTGAGGGAGGAGGGGGTGAGGGGGGTGGAGTGTAGGGGACATATTTTACTTATATTGGTGGCGCTCCGTGACAGTCAATCGTACTACACTGCCTAACTGCTCTACACTCGGGTACAGTTCTATCGTGTGGTTGTTTTCTTGTGAATGCCTCGTGATTATTCTTCATTCTTTCATTCATTGCTGTCTTCATTCTCATGGTTGTTTTCTTGTGAATGCCTGCGATATTCTTTTTCTTCTTTCTTTCTTTCTTTCTTTCTTTCTTTCTTTCATTCATTCATTCATTCATTCGTTACTTCCTTCATTTTCACGGCTGTTTTCTTGGATGTCCCTTGATATTATTCTTCATTCTCTCATTTGTTTCTTTCTTCATTATCGTGGTTTTCTTTCTTCATCATTCCTTATTTACTTGTGGATTTCTCGTTATAATTCTTACTTTCTCTCATTCATTTTCTTCATTTACGTGGTTATTTTTTGTGAATTTTCTTTATTTTATTTTATTTTCTCTAATTCATTTAATTCACTACACAAACTTTAGTGTGCCATTGCTATAGTAATTAGTATACCGTATGTACAGTAACTTGTGTCAATTTCACCGCTTTATTAGTTTTTCCAGAACGTTTCATCAGATTCTCTCAATGACTGGAGCATCATGTTACTCTAATTAAACGTGATGGATCATGTACGCCCGTTTACGATTTCAAAAACCTAACCTAACCTAGACTTCTGACGTGTCACTAATATTCAAGCAACAAGCACAGAGTCGGTGTTAACGAGATACGGTCCACATGCGGGTTTTTTCAACAGATACTTTGCAAGTGCGTCGCATTTACACGCAAAGCTGCTTCCTAAATTAACTGGGATTTACTCACAGGAAATGGAACAGAGTGGTCGACAAATATTCTGTTTTACAATGAAACTTACTCCAGAATTTGTGAAATGGTTCCATGTAGAGTTGAATCCACCGACAAGTGACATTAGCCTATGCTACGGTGCTTTAATTTAACCGTTTGTTTAAAGCGGCACAAGTGACGTACCGGTAAGTGACAAAGGAAGTCTTAATATTTGTTGTAAACCTTAACACACATCCTACACCGTAATGGAATTCTTCTTACTGCTACTGTACTTCCTTCACTGTCTCTACCTGCATCTCCTCATCTCCCCATAACCGAGGAAACGTAATAAGCAGAAAATTTTAAAGACGGACACCACAGCCTTCATCACTTGACTCCCGGTACAGCTGACAAGAACACGAAACAACTGAATACATGTAACAAGAGATACAACAGTCTCGGTGGCTATCTTGAATACTAAAATATTTTGGTAATAACGAGGGAACATGAGTTTGACTTGGATAAACTTACTTCCATCAGGACAAATAACGGTGTAGACTGAACGAGTAAAATCACTGAAGAAATTTTCGTGTTTCGTGCCTCTATAATTATTACAGGAGCATGATGACGTCAATGTTGGCTGGGTCCCGCTCCAAGGCGTCAGTGAAGAGCAGCAACGCGTCTCTACCTCACCAGCCTCATAATGACCACTGAGCCGCACACGCCACTATAACACAGGGGTCGCCACACACTGTACTCAATGAGGGATTTATCTTCAAAATCTTGTCAACATAACGAAAAAAGATCGACGATACGAACAAAATAAAAAAAGTGGGACATCATGATCGGATGAAATAATTGTATTTTTTTTTAGAACAAAATTGTACTATCTACACCCCCCCCAACTTATGAATACTAGCGATGTATATATCACTACCACGGCTGACCCAATGCTTCTTATAACACGGGGGTAATAACCATCCGCTACTTGGAAAATATTCAACGTTATTACATTAACCTATAATGGCGACAACAACGAAGGATTTGTTGAAGTTCTGAACCTTAAGGGCACTTCCGCTTATGCCAAGTGTGGGAAATGGTGCATTATGGGTAAGTTTAAAGACGAACTGGTGACTACCTGTCGCCCTGTGTTACACCTCATACACAGGCACACACATACATTAATGTACACACATTTACGTAGATGTACCTGATAACAGATACACACACACACAGTGCTACAGATGCTGGGATGTATCTAGTGACGTAAACAAATACACCTTCAATATAACTATCAATAAAACCTACACACAACAAACAGGGATATGGACGTTTACTGCACGTACAAGTGTATGGATGTACACACTGACACACAAACTGACATACAGTGGGAGGCCAGACAGGCAGGCACCATGGTGGTGGTCCCCAGAGTGTGTGGGAGCACCAGCACTGAGCGAAGCCTCCACCTGGCTCTCGTAAAACTAACAAATGGCTACATAATGATGGGCTTCCACCAGCTTTACCTATAATAGCTTACCCCAGCCGTCTCCACCCCCACCATCCCACAATACACTAATGGTGAACCGGCTGGGAAATACTGTAGACCTGACTACATTCCTGGTACAGATTATAATCCCGAATCAATCCAAGTTCTCAAATAGTTATCAAAGAATTGGACTGACTCGGGATGACAATGTATCTCGTTACCATGAAGTTAAGCCTTACTACAACTTTAATTCTTTCTCTACCAACAACATGGAGGAGAAACTGAGTCACTTAAAACACGTCCTCACACCTCAACTTACGAGATATCTAGCTAAGAAGGCTTAAGTCTCCGGCCTTGTACCACAACTATCATCCAAATCACCATCCCCGGCACAGAAGAACATTACCAACACCTATACTGTGGTAGTGGTTGTGGTGGCGGTGTGGTGGTAGTGGGTGTTGGTGGTAGTGGGTGTTGGTGGTGGTGGTGAGGTGGTAGTGGGTGTTGGTGGTGGTGGCGATGTGGTGGTAGTGGGTGTTGGTGGTAGTGGGTGTTGGTGGTGGTGGTGAGGTGGTAGTGGGTGTTGGTGGTGGTGGCGATGTGGTGGTAGTGGGTGTTGGTGGTAGTGGGTGTTGGTGGTAGTGGGTGTTGGTGGTGGTGGGTGTTGGTGGTGGTGGGTGGTGTTGGGAGGGAATAAAACAAAGTACATTAACTCATCCATTCCCTCCCACACCCACGTTGCCTCGAATGTGAACGTGGGATAATATGACTGACTGCGCAGAGGAGGGTCGGCACGCTTTGGTCACCACCCAGGTTCACCTCTCGCCTCACACTTACCGGGGGAGGGACGCGGATACCCACAAGCCAAATAATAGTAGTTAATTCTGATCTTGGAGTGTATTTTGTGAGGTCGTAATGAAAAACAAACAAATTAAAATAGAAGTAGAGAACAAAGGTAAACAGTGTCACCAGTGGAAGGAAGGTGTTTTAAGTAATTAAAGGTCTCCCCCGCAGTCATGGTTCACGACCCCATAAAGCCCTCCAACACCTGCGCCACTATGCCATCTGCGCCACTATCTCTGACAGCGCTAAATCCATGACTGCGGTCAGCGATTTTAGACACAAGGGGTTAAGGTGGTTCCTCCAGCTCTCATCCCTCAACGTCTGGTGTCTGATCTCTACTGTGAGTTCTGAACTAAGTCTGTCTTGGGATATACTGTATGGTCATATTTCTTCACTGAGTATAAATTGTTGTAATTTTATTGCCTGTGTATAACAGTTTGAAATTGTTGTGTAGTTTATCTTTTACTGTAACTTATCTGTATTATAAGTAATATAGTAATATACATATTCTTACATTAAAATTTTCACACAATTACTAATTACAACTGTAAGCGAGTTGAGCAGCGAGTTAAAAATTATGTGCTTTATAAAACTCTTGTTTTCATCGTTCCGGGTGATTTTTCACAGAAAAATTTAGAGATGACTAAACATGTGGGCATAACGCTGTTCCCGGATGACAGATTTTTAGTATAAAAAATATAGTGGATCAGCAGGGCATCGATGATGTGGCCAGTGAGTAGTTGTAGTGGCAACAGTGGGTTGGTTGGGGCGAGTGTGCAGAGAGGCAGAGCTGACTGAGTGGCCAACAGGGTACTGACCATACTGCATAACCTTTATTAATAGAATGGAGAGGCGGGAGGAGTCCGCTTTGGTGACGCTTCATACTGCAGCGTAAACAATGTTATGGTTTATGTGGGGACAGCTCTCAAGACACTAAGCTAGCACCGTGTGGCTTTTCATAAGTCATGTCACAAGAATGCCGCAGGGATCTGGTAAGGGTGAAAGTCCAAACCTGCAGGTGGACCCCAACTACACCCAGGCCAGCCATCCCTCTGCCCGGAGTGTTTATCCAACTGGCAGGAAACTGTATGACGTGTACATGAATGAACATACAGAAGAGGATCCGTGTATTTTCCAATGGAGGTGAAAGACTACGTAGGCATACAAACACCAACACCATCATTTCTACTACCCAGACAGATTTAGTCCCAACAAGAAACATGTATAAACAAGACGTGGAATGTGTAATGAAAGCATCGTTTAGCCGAGTCACTCTTCCAGGACAGACCACGAACACACAAGTCTGGGAGGACGACTCTTAGACAAGCGAAGGGCGGAGAGGGGGGAGGCGAAGGGCGGAGAAGGGGGAGGCGAAGGGCGGAGAAGGGGGAGGTGAAGGACAGGTATACCCCAGAAAAAAAAATATTTAAAAGTCAGTATTAAATCGGGTTTAAATAGAGTTTCTGACCTACAAATTGTATTATCGCCTTGTGATATTTATATATGTACACAAAATTCCGAGAATTCTTAATCTTTATTAATAAATTATGCCCTCAGAGGTGGTGGTGAAGACAAAATGAGGCAGAAAGTAGAGTGAGGGATGGTAGGTAAGCAGGGCTGAGGGGTGGTGGTGAGCTAGTAGAATACGTCAATATTTGCACGAACTAAAAAGTATTCCAGTAAACATATCATTACTGTTGAGAGGATCATTGGGTGATAACAATGAGAAACAGAGAATACAACAACACCCTCCCTGACAGATGGAGTGTTATCTCTTATCAGTAGTATCACCACACCACCATGTCATTCCTCCAACTTTTTACACCGTGGTTATCATCTCATACGTCACTCCATTGTTCCCTCCCCACCACCAGCCTAGTGCGTATCAGTCTGACCCACCTACCAGAAAACATCGGGGTGGTTCAGCTGGAGATGGAGGCGCGCAGGTGGATGGCGACACACACCACAAATATCAATTTCCTGGACAGTGAGGAGGTCCCCACCATTTCACCCCTCCCCTCCCAATAACCCCAGCAGACCCCCAGCAGACCCCCAGCAGCGTCTCATCTGACCCCGGGGAGTTTCTATACCTGTGCGTGAGCTGCCTACACCTTCACCACTCTTTCCTGTGCTACAATCTGACGTGTCTGGCAAAACATACTTCCTATTTGTATTAATATTTAGAGTATTTAGAAGGAAAAATAACCAGAAGTAAAAGTGTTAGTACCAAATAGACCAGTATATAGGCGTACAGTGGCTGACAGTCATATACTTATATTTTCATCAACAAAGTATGTAAGTCACTAAACAACAGCGTCGGCACTGCAAGACCCCACAGCAAAGACACCTCCAGCAAAGACACCCCCAGCAAAGACACCTCCAGCAAAGACACCCCCAGCAAAGACACCCCCATAATATATCCAGCAAAGACACCCCCAGCAAAGACACCTCCAGCAAAGACACCCCCAGCAAAGACACCCCCAGCAAAGACACAGCAAAGACACCTCCAGCAAAGACAGCAAAGACGCCTCCAGCAAAGACACCCCCAGCAAAGACATCAACAAAGACAATAATATGCATGACTAAACAGGGGACACACCAAGACAGCCAACATACAGGTAGTGATCATGTCCCATCTATCATGCTTAGACCTCACACAAATACCTGGGTTCACTTGATTAACACTGTAGATAATAACAGGTGTTGCTCAGCCATGGTTCTAATTCTACCCAAAATCTTACGTGACCTTCAGAATCTCTCAGGGTGCCATTACATTCCCCCTTATTCTTTATACCCCCTTACTCAATAATACCCCCTTACTCTCTACACCCCTTTACTCTGTACACCCTTTCCTCTCCCCTTTACTCTACATTTTACAGCAATAAATTAAATTAGGAAGATAAAAGAACCTTAACAAAATCATTAGATCAAAGGTAAACAAATAACTACAAGGCAAACGTAAAATAATCCTAAATCCTCAAACACCAAAACAGTCAGGACAAAAATTTTCAGAACACACACACACACACACACACACACACACACACACACACACACACACACACACACACACACACACACACACACACACACACACACACACACACACACACACACACACACACACACACACACACACACAGTATATGAACACGGGAGAGAGGATATGAACGTTTATTACAAGAGAATTAATTTTGGTGTGTGGAGAGAATGTTGAAGCTCACTTTGTTAGTCTCATGTGAACTGAGAACACAAATTGGATTTCATATCTATTCCATTCGAGTTCATCAACGTGTAATTTTCTTTAACTATCCGTCGATCCCCCCTAACCCTCCTAACCCTCCCACCTCCCTTTTTTTTGGTAGGTGGGGGGAGGAGCGTGTGGGGAGGAGAGGGGGGAGGAGCGTGTGGGGAGGAGGAAAGGGAAGGAACGTGGGGTTGGGGAGGGGAGGGATATTACAGTCATTTAGTCAGGATATCTTCAGAGTGGATTAGTGACAAAATCTATTCTGCAAAATGAACATCTCTCCCTGGACTCCGACTCACCAGGGACTCTGATAACACTTCTCACCGCCACAACTGGAGATAAGAAAATCCACGTAGTTAACCCAGAGTCTCAAGTGTAATTTCGACGCCATTTTGGCCACTATCTGTGTTGTAACCTCAGTTAGATGTGTTTTCACCTGTCATATAAGTGGCAATTTAACGTATGAGTGTTTTAAGAGGCGGGTCTTGGCGCGGTACTTGGCGGAAATAGCCAACATTCGTCCTCCGGCCTCCAGTTACTGGCCGGAATCTAATCTTAAAGTCTGAGGCCAAAAGCGGGCGAATGGTCTTTGACCCTTTAACTCTGACCTCTGACCTCCGGATGCGAGAAAAAACGAAATTCAAGGTAATAGTTCAAAGTGTTTGGCAGAGAATAGAGTTAAAATTCAGACAAATAAATGAAAAAACATAAGTGATGGATCAACATACTAAGTGATTTTTCTTAAAGTAAAAACAGCAACACTGGCGATAACGTGCAGGAAGACGATGTGATGTGTGTGTGTGTGTGTGTGAGGCAGGTGCTGGAGGGAGGGTGTGTAGGGCCAAGAACACCTCCGTCCCCTTCTCTACCCTTCCCACCTTCCTCTACCTGTCCCTCCACGGCCGCCTTACAACCTTCATTTCATCTGGCACACTGGATGACTGGGCAAGCTAACGAGGTTTATTAATAGCGTCATGGAATAAAGAAAAAAAAATGGAACGCCCTCTGAATCAGACCGAGATTATTGAGCACATTATATGAGAGAGGCTCCTGAGCACATTATATGAGAGGCTCCTGAGCAACTTATATGAGAGAGGCTCCTGAGCAACTTATATGAGAGAGGCTCCTGAGCAACTTATATGAGAGAGGCTCCTGAGCAACTTATAGGGGAGATTCTTGAGTAACTGAGGAGGAGGAACGAGGCAAGTCGACGCCCACCTGACCGAACACGCTAAACACTAGGTGGTGGACAGACAGACACACGTGACAGTGTGTTGTGAGGAACAAGAATGTTAGGTGGGGAGGGGGATATATGTATACGCTCTCAGGAATAGGAGGGCGAGGAGCCGTCTAAGGCAGGGCGTAAAATGTGAGACACAAGAGAGGTATTAGCATAATGTTATTGTGGCGGCAGGTGGCGGCCCGTCTGCCCCCTGCTACCTCCACCCCTCTCCCCTTCCTCCCGATTCCTCTCCTATCCTTCCCTCTTCTCTTCCTATCCGTCCTCCTCCTCCTCCATCTTCACTCGCCCTCCTATATTAGCTAAAAAGAGGACCCCATATCGTTCCCTATACAGTTACAAGTGTTCACATTCATATTAAAAAAAAACAAAAAAAACATTGCCCAAATTATGTCCAGATGAGCAACTTGTCCATAAAAACAAACAAACAAACAAAATTATTCGGATTATAAACATATTCTAAAGAAAATAAGAGGAAAAAGAAATAGCAGTAAATCTTCTGTATAAAGGAGCTAACGACTGGTGTTAAGAAATTAGAGGAAGTTTTAACAATCAATTTATAATCAAATAAGGTAAATCTACACAAATAAAAACTTGCAAAATTTTACTCTCATCTATAAAAATATCTTCTCGGTGAACCTTCTAAACAGGTCATAAAGATATGTATTTTCAACAAGTGAGTCAGACAATGCTCGTGTAATGCTTCCAGCGAGAGTGGTGAGATGGACGAAGGAAACATGATTTAATATTTCTTTACATATGACGTTCGCTGTGAGCCATAAGAAACGACATAACTTAATCTTTCACCAAAACAAACACGTTATTGAGAGAGGTGAATGATAAACAGCGAGGGTCAACACACCTTCTGTAAGTTATCTGTTGTTGTGTGTGGTCGGACAACATCTTATTTGCAAAAGTAGAAAAGCCAGGGACGAATACGAAGCTGCACCCCCCCCCCCTCCAACAAGAGATGGATTTGTTCTTGTAATAAGCAGAGTTAGTTACTTTCCAGGTACCACCGTGGCCTCCTAACGTTCCAGCACATCATTATTCTTTATGTCTCGGCTTGTGTTATTTAAATAAAAGATCCAGCTACTGCCAGACCCAATGGCATTACATACGCAGCACCAAGCAGGCGTGCAGATTGTTATCTCCCCTGGACGTAAAATGACACATATCATGCAACATTTTGATGCTGAAATATCTGACCTTAATGTTTACACCAATAACGTGAAATCCCGACATGTGGCACAATATTGCACATTAAACATTTAAAGTGAGAAGGACTAACACTACTGGTATATTATAAAAGAACGAGTACCTCACGCCTAGGTTAATCCTGAGGCGGGCGAGGTACACAACAAGGAGTTTGGTAACGGTATACTGGGGACCCCATCCATGAGCCCCCTGTGTTAGTGTATGGCTTACTGTTGTTGAGAGATTGGGTATTATTTTGGGTAGACGAGTCTGGGGGTCGGCGGAGAGGTGCTGGGAGTCGGCGGAGAGGTACTGGAGGTCGGGGGAAAGGGTGCTGGAGGTTGGCAGAGAGGTGCTGGAGGTCGGGATCAGAGGAAATTGAACCCAGCGTGATGACCCCAGTGACCAGCATTCCTTCTGAATTCACATTACAGGACAGATAA